AGAGAGAGAGAGAGAGAGAGAGAGAGAGAGAGAGAGAGAGAGAGAGAGAGAGAGAGAGAGAGAGAGAGAGAGAGAGAGAGAGAGAGAGAGCGCAACGAGAGTTTTGTGAGCTACGTACGCCGACATTGTGTACCCTACATGTCTTGCATGTGCAAAACCCTCCCTGGAAATTGAGCCCATCATCCTGCCACCTGCAACAAGGCGCCAGAAAGGGCGCCCTCCAAAAGGGAGTCGAATCAAAGGTTGTTTGGAGGGAGGGAGAGTACAGAGGCCGCAGGAAACGAAGCAGAAGTGTCTCCTTTGCGGTGTCAATGGCCATAACGCCCGTAGGTGTAGAACACCGAGACCGACTAGTGGAGTCATTGGAGTGCGCCCTTGCGACGTGCCCGTTGCATGTGATGTCACCCGTGAACGTGTTGGTCCGACACGACCTCAAGGTCATGAGCGGTTCGGGGACGAGCACGATAATCTTGGTGTTTTCGGCGCAATTGTTTCCGACTTTGAAGGCCTCCAACAGGCAGTGCATGAGCATGAAGGTTTTTTGGAGGACGAGGGTGTGGCTGGAAACGACGGCGACGATAGTGAGGACGACGATGACGAAGAGGATACTGGTCGTGAGTATGACGAGCGAGACGGTGAGGGCAACAAGGACTGCGAAGGCAAAAATGGGGCAGAGAAGGCGGATGAGGGGAGGGAGGATGATGAGAGCAAGGACAAGGGAGACGAAGAAGAGAGAAAGGAAACGAATGAGGAGTGGAATGAGGAGAATGTGGACAACGTCAGGGAAAAGGATGTGGAGGTCCAACCACGGAGCAGCAAGGAGGATGCTTGCTGAAGTACCTGTTCCTGGGTGTCATTGTGACCATCCACGTCATCCTTACCGTGCTTCCCCTATCTGTGGTGGTCCTTCCTTACTTCTTTTCCTTTCGTTCTTTTGYTTTTTTTCRCGTTYGCTTTCCGATTCACAGTGTGAATATATACATAAAAATTGAAATGATATTTTTTTGGCATTTGCTTTAGGTTTGTTTTTTCGTTTCTGCGCTCTGATAAATTTGTGAGAAAATATATATATATATATATATTATATTATATACATATATATATATAGTATGAAGTACGGGGCAGTGCTTGCATGTAGGACTTGTCATCAAGGATCTGTTATGTTTGCCTTTTTGGCACCCTTGTCTACATCCTGATTGGTTTTGTCCTGTTGTTCGATCTATTTTGGCGAGCGTAGTGGTGCTTTCATGCGGGGCCAATCATCCGGGTTTATTTTGTTGTTCGGCCTCCGAGAGCATGAATGGTTTTGGAATGGGAATATCAACGTCTTCACGACGAACAAGGTCAGTTCCTGTATATATATTTTTTCGCATATAAAAGTTTTATCCTAGGTGGTCTTGTCCCGTCGTTTGGCCTATGAAGGAGGGGCAGTGGTTGCATTTTCGACTTTTCATCTAGCATCAGTGTTTGGTGTTTTTTTCTTGTGGCCCCCAGTTTTGTTGTATTTGGTTATTCCGTTGATCTTTCTTCGCCTTCTTACCCTTAGGCCGTGTGTTGACATATCGATATGATAGACTGAGGTGGGGGCAGCCGCCGCTCAACCTACATCCACGTGGGCGGCCTTGTACGCAAGAGGTTATGAACAGGGGGAGTTGTACGAAAGAAGATAAAAAAGCGAATTTATTTTTCTTTGTTTTCTGTCTGCTTTATTTTTGCTTTTCCGTTCTGATAAGTTTGTGACAATATATATATATAGCACATCGAACATGTTTGGGTGTTCGGCCGAACACCACTCGAACGTGTTCGACCAAACATATTTAAAAAAAAAAAAAAAAACTTATTTTTTTGGTTTTGGATTTTTAACTCGCGTCTGGTTACGAATTTGAGCATACCTCCAAGA